TCGACAGAAGATGATTTTCGTTTTGTAGTTTGATTTTATTGTATGATGAAAAGCTCTTGTCTTTTTGACTTAGCACGGATGGAGTGCGTTCAACTTCATAGGTGACTTCATATTGTTCATCATATATGCCGGGTTGTTCAATAGTATGCTGAACAGTAATATCATTTGAATCTTGTTGACACACAACACCATTAGAATTTTCTCTTTCATAACTATTCCTTTGTTCGATATCAACAGAAATTAATGGTCTCAAGCACACATCAATTTTAATACCATTATCTATTTGAATACTATCGGATAAATCTGTTTGCTGCTTATGATGCGATGATTTATAACAATTTGATGTTTCGAGTGATGGTACACTCCATGTGCGAGCAGTATCCCTTGCTGAACGAGGAACATTATCATTAATATGTTGGTCACTTAACACACGCTGATTTTTCCGCGTATATTGAGACGATTTCTGTTTATCGCCTGAATAACCACTGGTTGTATTCAACGGTGTTATTCGTCCGCCTGATGGACTGATACCTACTCTTATCACGCTAATATTCGGTTGGAACATCGACGTTTGCCCATGAAATTGATTTCGAACTTTAATACATTTTTCCTCGTCGGTATCTGATAGAACACTTTTTTCCTGTGACCAGTCTTCATGACAGTGATTAAATAAGTTTGTCTTTGATGCATTATAATTCTGACTACTTGTTTGAGGCGTTTGATTGACTAATAATACATCCCTATTGCCGCGAAATTCTTGCACAATTCCAGTTATAGTACTATAACGATCGGTGGATGAATATTCTGATTCTGTTCGAGATGTTGTCACTACCAGATTGGATACATCCTTGTTAGTGACGTTATATGGCTCTAAATCAATGCAAGGACAGTTAACACGGACAACGACCATATGTCTGATCTAGATGGATCAGACAATACACATCGAAGCAATGCGCATTTCAGAAAATTCCTAGGATGCAACTGTTGTTGATTTATGCGGTTATCAATTAAAAACCACGTTTGTGATAAAATTAATGTATACATTTCGTACTTTCGCTTGCCGAATCTGGTGAACTTGGAAGGAATTTTTGATTTCTCTACGACTCGATCATAAAATCGATACTTACTATCATCGCTCATTCGTTTATGATCATTTTCTGGTGCTAGATATTTGGATGATCGCCGTTTCTTGCTATCTGTCATCGGACGCATTGCTTGTACATCGAATAACGGTCTGTGTGTAACTAAGTTGGATGAGTCTATATTTTTAGCAATCTGTACGCTACGAATATTTTTCTCCACTAATTTTGATATAGTTGATGTTTCATATGAACTGGCTGATGTTGTTGGAATTCTAAAAGTTTTTCTACTACACTTTTTATCTTTTCTTTGTCGTCCAAATGTAATTTTTGGTGCAGTCAATTTTGGCAGATCGACTTCAAGTGAGATATTATCTGAGTTTACATCAGGATTACGTCGTTCTTCCACAGAAACTTTGTGCGAACTCGATATATCGTATATGTTTTTATTTGGTTCACTCATGAACGATGAGTCATTCGATCTGAATAGTGATTGTTTAGCGGTGGCACACAAAAAATTGGACCGTTGATGTTGTTGCTGTTTCGCTAATGATATCTTAGACGTTTGATTACAAAACATTCTTTCAGAAGTTTCTAAGTACGGTGGTATTACTTCGATATCGGGTAGAATTCCACTCATACCCTCTAATGTTATTGGTATTTCTGGCTGTTTTGAGCTCGTCATAATATTTGTTGATCGTCGTTGTTTACCACCTTTGAATGCTCGACTAATTGCTCTTAAGCTGGTCACAAATCGACCACTAACTTTCTCTGTCATCATGTTAGAAACAGCAGGAACAGATGACGTTGACCGAATGTTTTTATGAGCGTGTTTTTCATTTGTTGATCGTATTGCGCAAAGAGATGAGTGTGACTGAATATCTTTGTCGTGTAAAGTTTGAATGGTTGTTGCTGCCGGTGTTTCTTGTTGCTGATATGCAGAATGAAGAGGTTGATCGACCAATTTCTCGATTGTTGATGATGTCTGAGGGTAAGATGGATGAATGTTCTTATTGACTAATTTCTCAATGAGTAATGATTGGTCTTGAGAGCATATTTGATGAATATTTTTGTCAAAAATATTGTGTATTGTCGATATCTCAGTAACTGGTTCACGTCGTTTGGTTATTGGTGATGATTGATGAACAATATCGCTGTCTTGCAGTGATGACTGTTGTGTGATTCGAATATCGAGTGTTTTAGCTAAACAAGAATCCTGTGTTGGTGGTAAAGGTATCTTAAAAGTGGTCGAGTGACGTTGTGTACTTGTATCGTGACAGATATTCAAATGTGATGCACCTTTAAAATTTGGTACACAAATGATTACATTGGAATTTTGTTTATTACGTTCTTCGCCTATACGGATAACTGAACCGCGATAAAAAGACGCCGATTTTTGGAAAGGTTTCAGTGTTCGCTGATTATTATTTCGGCTTATGTGTGAATATTGTGTATCATGATGGTGGACATGATGAATATGTAGGCGATGGGAGTCGTCACCATTGAGATCGTGGTTATTATTTATATTATTGCGGTTGCTATCCTCATCAATATCTAAACGATCAAGTCCATCTACGGGTGTAGTAGGACTTTGAATAACCTCAACATCAGGTATCATGATCTAGAAATAAAAAAACCATAGTAAATTAGATGCGAATTTATTATAGGCGCTGTAGTTATTCTCAAACTATGTCTGGTCTGCATAATTCTGTCTCTTTTTATCCTGTCTCGCAGTTATAGTTCGAGCAGAGGTTAAGCTTTTAGTAAAACTGATATTTAAAAACGCTTCATACTCAAGAACTCGTAACTTTGAAGCTTCAAACTTTTTCGAACGGTTTGTCTGATCGATGTTGTTCCTTTACAGTTTATATTTGTTATTTTATGTAGATGTCCCCTTTCTACAGGCGTGAATTTATCCGATATACGGTTTGGGGGATATCTTGGAGACAATCGAAGTTGTTGTATATGTGGAAGTGGAAATTGGAATTTAGGGGATCGGAATTCCACTGGTGGAAATTGGAATTCTAATTTCCAATAGTACGAATTTCTAGTGGAATTCGGAACTTCCCTAAATCTCAATTTCCACTCTCACATATATTTAATACTCTATGGGTCCCTCTGATTCATAGGAGCTATTGCACGAGAAAAACGACAGATTACAATAAGACCATGCTCAATCGACCAGATTTGCTTTTAACTAGTCCTATCTTGTTCAGCATGTGTGAAAAGCTATAAATCCAAATCTTGAGCTTTCTAGGACTTTTACTTTCTGAGTTCTGGACGGTTTTCTCGAGTCTGCTCGATGGAAAATTTAGCGTCTAAAAAATGGAGAGCAAAAATAAAGATTCTGTTTCTCAGCGCAGGCACGTGATGGAACAGGGATTTTTCCATCGTATGTGGTCCATTGCATGGTCAGATCAAGCTGGTCAAACAAAGCTTTTAAACTACATAATTGGAAAGAGCACGAAATTCTGAACAAAATGAGCTATTGGTCATAATTTTAGCAATTATTTTAAAGAGGTGAAAGAATAACAGTTGTTCAAACGAAAATGGCTTACCATAAAAACCTAATTTTTAGGTTGTCGAATTTATGACTTGGAAACTATGAGTGATACCTCATTTTGTTCAGAATTTTGTGCTCTTTCCAATTATGTAGTTTAAAAGCTTTGTCGATAATCTTAAGGGGTTTCTAGAAGCTCCCAAAAGCTTTCCATAGATCCTTACAAGACGCCAAGCTTTTGAGATCGGATTCGGATTGCCCACACTTGAATGTCTATGAAAAAACGCATCTTGTTTTATGCTTAAGTCACACACTTGAGAACGGCCTCATACAATATCAACTTCTAAGGTCCTCAGAAGACCTTCGCTGTCGGGCTGAAGATCCAAGGTAAAAACGATCTGACCATGCAATGG